GAACTTTTATATTTTGATTAATGTCTAAGTGTTGTTTTTTATTCAGTGGAAGTCGAGGACAGCTCTTCAGACTATCTTTTTTGTGTTCCACTGAAGAATTATAAGTAAATGATGACAGCATTTTTAATTTTTAAGTACTGTCCTGTTTCTGTTTGGGGTTTTAGAGAACACTGATAGAATATGCATTGTTTTAAACCACACACACACACACACACACACACACACTTTATCATTTGTAGTATTATATATTTATTTTTAACTTTTCAACTCTCTCTTTTTTATACTGTATTCATTAACTTTAATTATTGTTGTAGCTGGAGACCCCAAAAATGAAACATTGTGTGTGTCATACCGTTTCAAATAAATAAATCAAAATTAATAATTAAAACTTTTCACTAATAACAACCACATGAATATGACAGTTTCCTTACTAACAGCATGTGTGTATGTATTGTGTGGAGCTCATACTGTGAGACCTGGTGGCCGTGGGAAGAGAATACTCTCTCTCTCGCTCCCTCGTTTTTATATTAGGTTCCTATAGCAGCAGAGATCAGATGCCAAATTTAAATATCTTTCACATTGTCCGTTTATTTTTTGTAGAAGGCAAGGGCTCTCGTTTTAGTAGACAAGGATATTAAGTACCTCACTGCATATGCTTTCAATTTACTAAATATTCTAAGCACACAGTTTGACTGTTGGTTTTGGATATGGTCAGGTAGTGCAGTCAAAGTCCGCTTGGGCAGTCATTCGTTTATCTTGGTATACATATGAAAATAACAGGAAGAATGGATTACTAACTCTATCTGAGTGCTTCCAATTCAATACTGATCACATATCATAGAGACAATAATGATTAATTTCCCAGGACATAGTAGTGAATTCCACTGTAATGAGTTTGTCATGTTTTTTTTTTTGATGATATAATATTTGATATGTTGTAATATTCTATTCTTGGCTTATCTGTTTTGGGGTTTGGTGCCTCTCATTCACTATCTCAGAGGCACATTTTAATGAATGTATTATGAAGTTGGTGCTTTAACTATTCAATTCAGGTCAATTTACATTTCACATTTAAATACAAAACATGTTGTTTTAAAGTACTGTACAGTCTAAATAGACAGACAAATATAAACAACAAAGCATCAATCAATGATATAATTCAAGACCCCAGACAATGATAAATGCTAGAGAATAATCATATTTTGAGAGCGGGTTTAAAACTAGAAAAAGAAAGGGGAGACCTAACATGAAATGAGAGACTGTTCCACAAACTTGGGGCCTCAACCAAGCTTGATGAAGGATCTCAGCTGTCTCGATGGAGAGTAGGAGGTCAAAAGATCGCTGAAATATTGAGGGGCAAGCCCAACCAAGACCTTAAATACAAACAACAGAATCTTAAAAACTTCACAGGCAACCAGTGATGAGAGGCAGATCACAGGCAGATCCCTGTTAGGAATCTGGCAATAGCATTCTGCACCAGCTGTAGCTGGCCAAGAGATTATTGTGGTAAACTGACATAAAGCATTTTACAGTAGTCAAGTCTTGATCTATTAAGGGCATGCATCACTATTTCCATGTCATTATGGACAAGAACAATTTCAATTTAGTGATAGCCCTAAGATATATAAAAACTGCTCCCGACAGCGCTAATTTGCTTTTCAAAAATGATAGATGTCGAACAAGACTCTGAGGTCTGAACATTAGATTAAATGGATCCTCCTAACTGAATTTGAATAGCTGAGACAGAGCTAGGAGAGCCTAGGATAAGCACTCTGGTTTTGGAATCATTTAGCTGCAAGAGGTTGTTAGCCATCCAGATATTAATTTAATCAAAGCAGTCCAGCATAGTGGTTACAGCGCCTTTACTGTCTGAGTTTATTGGCAAATAAAATTGGGTATCATCTGCGTAGCAGTGATAGGAGATATTAGATTTCTGAAAAACTGAGCTCAGTGGAAGCAGAGCAAACAACAGTGGGGATAGAATGGACCCCTGAGGAATCCCAGAGTGTATAGGCCTACAGGAGCTGAGGATGCACTTAGGTCTAATAACACCAAAACGGCACAAGAACCAGCATCCAGAGACAGGAGAATGTCATTTGTCATCTTCAGAAGAACAGATTCTGCACTGTGCTTTAGTCTAATGGCAAACTGATAAATAGCAGGAAGGTAAAATGAGTTAAGATATGAGCATAGTTGATGGTACACAACTTTCTGTAGTAGTTTTGATTGGAAATGCAACTGCAAGATGGGTCTATTTAGCAGAATAAAGCAGGGTACAGATTCTTTAAAAAAAAAATGTAATGCTGGAATTACCCCATTTGCCAGTGAAGTGTTAACAATTGTTGTGACATGTGTAGCCACTGTATCAAATGCAGCTTTACAGAGGCAAGCAGGCAAACAACCCAATTAACAAGTAAACATTTCATCTTAGCTACCAGTTCACTCAATAGGATACTTGATAGAAACAGTCAGAGCGCCCAGACAACTGGCTTTCAGATAGATAAGAAAAGTTTAAGGTTGGGATAGATGCCTTGTTGCTGTGTATTTTATAAATGAAAAATTGGAGGAACGTTTGAAACGCTTCAGCTGAGGATACGTTGCAGAAGTAGGATGTAAAATAGAACCAATGGTCACACACACACACACACACACACATATATATATATATATATATATATATATATATATATATATATATACATACACATTTATAAATTAAATATATATATATATTTCATTTCCATTTAGTTTGTTGAAGTATTAAAATAACTCAAATTCAATAAAACTAAAAACTTAATAAAAGACCTATACAGACATAATAAATTCAGACAAAATTAAAATAAATAACAAATACAAATAATACAAGTCAAATGACAGTAGTTTATCAGTAATCCTAAAAAATAACACTGCCAAACACAGTGTTAAACTAAGCTTTTTTTATACCCGTTTAACAAAATACTAAATTAATTCAGCTGGACACACTTTCCTTATTTTTTCACAACAAATGGCCAAGCAAGCGCAGACACTGACAAGATATGCGATACAGAACGAGACCAAACGCGATATCAGCACGTCTCCAATATCACGATATCAAGACTTAATGGTGTTATTTAATCCGCCAAACATTAACAATTTGTATTACATTGTACTATGTTATTAATTAATGGTTAGGTTATTAATGAAGTGAATAATGATTCCCAAGAAATAAACATTATTAGTTCCAGTAGTTCAGTGATTGCATGCTGTTATTGATGGATTGTAATAGTGTCTTTGGAAACCGGTGACACTTATCTGTCTATGAAATTTGAGTAATTGTTATGATGTTCGGGTGGTGAAGAAATACTACTACTGGTCTGATACTTCATTGAAATCTTACTAAAATGTTGGTAAACTGCTCAGCACTGCCAGAACAAAGGCACACATGACCCGCACAACTCAAAGACATGCATCGAGAACTCCGGTGGCATCGCTGCATAATGAACAAGAGTATCCATTCACAGTATCCAATCCATATAAATTAATGATAACTGCTGTTTTTTTCAAAGCTGGATGACAATTACGTGTACATAAAAAGTAATACAGACTTTTAGAGGAAAACAAAATCCTGCTTTTTATTATACCTTGTGCCACACCATATAAACTATTTGCAAATCCAAATGGTTCATCAACTTGTAAGAAGACTGGAACTGTTGCTCTGCCTCTTCTTTTTTTTTTAAATTAGGGTACATAAGCTCAGATCAATTATGCCTACAGCCATTAAGTTCCAAAAAGAAATACAAACCCTGTGCTAATTGAAAGAAAACACGTTGATAAAAACACTGAATCCAATATCTGATAACAGCGTAAAGAGAAATTTAGAAGCAGTTATATGTAGGCTGGTCATTTTAACAACAATAATTATTATTATTGATCACCTTACATACAAGATTAAAATGCTTACTAACAAGTGCAAATGTAACACTGAACTACCTGTATCAAGCATGTCTTTAAGCATGTCACTTGAACATCATGTTACTTATAATTGAACACAAAGACTTTATAAGAAAACTTAAACAATTACACACTCAATACATAGCCAATTTTTAATGTACATGAAATAAAGAAACTGTGAACTTGACAAAAAAAAAGACAGTGATTTAACACTCAGTGCTCATGCAAAACACAGACATGAACAGTCAAGGTCTTTGGGAAGCTCTGATGATCTCTGAGGTTTTGAACAAAGAATCACTGCATGAAAAGAGTAATTTCCAGGATAAATCTGACACTGGACATTTCAGTGAAATTTAAGGGGTACGACGTGTGTACGAAAACAAACCATCAAAGACTATAGATACACAAATAGTCCTCTCACATTACTATGAATAGGGAAAAGTGCAATGCTCAATATGGCCACCATAGCGAAGGAAGTCCCGCCTTCCAGTCAAAACAGCCAATCGTTAATTAATTTATTTGAACATTTTTTAACATAAATTTAAAGGTATGCACAAAATGTTTCCTTGTTAACTCAGGGGGGTCAAACTCAATTCCAGGAGGGCCAGAGCCCTGCAGAGTTTTGTTCCAACGCTGCTACGACACACATACCATGTAGCTTTCAAATAAGCCTCAAAGACACGATTAGTTGGATCAGGTGGGTTTAGGGTTGAATCTAAATTCTGCAGGGCTCCGGAATTGAGTTTGACACCCCTGGTTTCACTGCATGTAAGATTTTATATGGTGAGTATATGGTCTTCGCTTAGAACAGTGTTTCTCAACCCTGGTCCTGAGCGCCCCCCAACACTGCACATTTTGTATGTCTCCCTTATCTGACACCCATTTCTGGTCCTGGAGTTTCTTTTCATGAGCTGAATCAGGTGTGTTTGATTAGGGAGACACACAAAATGTGCAGTGCTGGGGGGCGCCCAGGACCAGGGTTGAGAAACACTGGCTTAGAATAACAATTTGTAAAATAATTTGCAATAATAAATGTATTTACATTGTTATTGAGGTACAAAATAAACAGAAAAAAATGTTCAGCAGTTTTATTAAATATTTTGCACGACATGACAAAAACGGTTTATTAGCAATCATAATGCAAAGAACATCCACATCACATCCCATCACACATCGAGTCCTTTCAGTGTCATCCTCTGGTCTTTGCTCAGGTTCAGTCTCTGTTCTTCCAGTGTTTGTAACCACGTCCTCTGGTTACCATTGAAACAGCCGTAAAGGAGACTGGTGTCGTGAAATAATTGCAAATCTTTGCGCATGCGCAATAGCTGGAGCAAACTGGGGAAAAAACATGTTTTTAAACGTAATTAGAGCCTAAGCAACAAAAGTAATGGGACAGGTCACTTCAGATTTTGTTGCTGATTTGAAATGTAATTTGAGAGTTCAGCAAGCAGTTTTTGAGATTTCAGGATTCCCTGGATAGGACCTGGTCTTGGATGAGCTGCCCGGGGACGTTGCAAACATGGCCGCCGAGTGAACAGACTTTCCTTGAAAGGGACTTTGGTCCTGTACACGTCCATACACTTGAGATGATTTTTGGATAAAGGGATCTTTCTGATTGCACACACAAGACGTGTTTAGAGATTTCCAGTATACCAGCCCATATGAAAATTAACCATGGTTTTATTATAGTAAAAGTGTAGTTACCATGTTTTTTGGCAGATTGATTGCCAAATGTATAATGACAGTTTTACTACAAATACCATGGTTAATTTATGGTTATCATAGTTTAACTACAATAACCATGTTTTTTTTAAAGTTATTTGCCATGGTTAATTGCCGTAAGGGAGCAAGCACTATCATGTTTTTCAGGGTGTGTATCGGTTAAAAATTTTAAATTCATAGGCCAGTTTCATATTGAATGAATCTAAATGATTCACACTTAATTATGCCCATTAAAATGTATTTTACAAGTTTTTGTTACTTTCACTGTTCATTTTTTTCTCTCTCTATGGTAGCCTACATCATCTTTAATTTAATAGCATTGGAGCTGCCCCATTGCAGCGGCTTAGTACTGTAATCACGAGCTTTGCTGTAAAAATGCAGGGAACCACTCGCTATAAATCTCCTAACTGTGATATTTTCATAAATAGAAGTCTCGTTGTTTTCATCTGAAACGTGCAGTGATTTATTTTCCAAAGCCACTCAAATAATGCAGAAACACTCATGAAGCAAGCAAAACACGTGCAACGCGCAGATGTATTTGTACTGGTGCAGAATGAGAGGGACAAGTACAGTACAGCCTAGCTCAGGGATCCTCAAATCTGGCCCACGAGATCCAATTTCCTGCAGAGTTTAGCTCTAACCCTAATCAAACACACCTGAGCATGCTAATCAGTGTCTTCAGGATCATTAGAAAATCACAGGTAGGTGAGTTTGATCAGGGTTGGAGCTAAACTCTGCAGCGCATTGGCCCTCCAGGCCAAGATTTGAGGAACCCTGGCCTAGCTCATTTCACACAGGCTGTTAGTTTCACTTTCGCCAGAAAGTCGTGTATGCTTAAGGGTGAAAATAAATGACATTTATAGTGAATGCCCCTATAAATGGTCTTATATTTACGATTTAGTTTTAATCCAAATGATGCGTGCTACGTGAGCGAACATCAATAAAAATCACAAAAGTGAGCGCTCTCTCTCTCCCTCCCTCCCTACCATTAAGTAACTTGTGCATTGTTTTAACTTACTTCTTTTTACATATCCGACCGAACTACAAACTTTCCAGTGATGTCTGTGAGAAATGGATATTCACTCGACAAGCTTGCGCATCTGCGCCGCAGCACGCTCAATCCACTCAGCGAGATTTGCTTACCAGCTGGCGCAAATCAGCTATACTGGCATTAATACTGAATGTTTTATATTCATTGCATACATATACTTCGTAGACATCTTTCATCTCTAATAACTCCATTCTGCTGTCTGTTGTAGGTGTTTCTTTGTCTGAATATGGCACCTATTTTTATTTATTTTTTATTCAATTTATTTGTACAGGGACAACGCACAACAACAGTGTTGTGCCAGAGTTAGCTATAAAGCTAATTTGCATCTGCAGTCCCTGGAGATGCCCTATCACATGCTGTGTGGTATCGGCGTTTGGTATCGGGGCATTTTAACGAGTACAAGTACGAGTACAGGAGCTCAGTATCGGTGCATACCTATTAGAAACATATATATCTATATATCAGTAATGCAGGGAACCACTCGCTATAAATCTCCTAACTGTGATATTTTCATAAATAGAAGTCGTGTTTTTTTTCATCTGAAATGTGCAGCGATTTATTTTCCAAATTCACTCATATAATGCAGAAACACTCATGAAGCAAGCAAAACGTGCAACGCGGGAATGAGAGGGACAAGTGCATTTCACACAGGCTGTTAGTTTCACTTTCGCCAGAAAGTCGTGTATGCTTAAGGGTGAAAATAAATGACATTTATAGTGAATGCCCCTATAAATGGTCTTATATTTACGATTTAGTTTTAATCCAAATGATGCGTGCTACGTGAGCGAACATCAATAAAAATCACAAAAGTGAGCGCTCTCTCTCTCCCTCCCTCCCTACCATTAAGTAACTTGTGCATTGTTTTAACTTACTTCTTTTTACATATCCGACCGAACTACAAACTTTCCAGTGATGTCTGTGAGAAATGGATATTCACTCGACAAGCTTGCGCATCTGCGCCGCAGCACGCTCAATCCACTCAGCGAGATTTGCTTACCAGCTGGCGCAAATCAGCTATACTGGCATTAATACTGAATGTTTTATATTCATTGCATACATATACTTCGTAGACATCTTTCATCTCTAATAACTCCATTCTGCTGTCTGTTGTAGGTGTTTCTTTGTCTGAATATGGCACCTATTTTTATTTATTTTTTATTCAATTTATTTGTACAGGGACAACGCACAACAACAGTGTTGTGCCAGAGTTAGCTATAAAGCTAATTTGCATCTGCAGTCCCTGGAGATGCCCTATCACATGCTGTGTGGTATCGGCGTTTGGTATCGGGGCATTTTAACGAGTACAAGTACGAGTACAGGAGCTCAGTATCGGTGCATACCTATTAGAAACATATATATCTATATATCAGTGAAACACTTTTTAGTTCCTTCAAGTTAGTCTTATTCATGTAAACAAATAGCCTAAATTCCTGACAAGAAATGAAAGCGAGCTATTGATCCACATGAGTTATTCTGGAGGTACTAGACTGAGATACTGTACATGATATTCATACTGCCAGTGCAAACTGCAAAAAAAAGAATATATATAACAATTTTTAACACTGGAAAAAAATACCCGTATATTTTGTAATAGAACCTCAGTTTAAGGGAAATTGAAATCATTAACAGAACATATTCCAAACATGACTAGCTAACAACGTCAAGTAGAATCAACATTCCATGGGTGAGAAACAGCCCACAGACATGCTGCTTTCTAAAGGTCAGTGGTGAGACTGCAACAAAGACTCATTTCTGATGTAGTCAACACTCAAATCCACAGAAATGTGAAAATGACTCCTACTCTGGGTTTATGTGTGCTGTGCTGGAAAAGGCACAAAACGCCTGGCGATTTAAAGGGGGATATCATTTTAAAGTGCACATCGCTTAGGATGAAAAGTTTCTTGCTACATTCAAAATAAAACTCTGCAAACAACTGATATGTAATTTATGATGTTGTACTTTTATATTTAACAATAACAGCTTTATGCTACATTGTTTTCAGATGACATTACTATTTTGCAGGTTTACACAACCATCTTCTCACTATAAACTGTTACCTCTAGAAAGACTTTCTCAGTACTTGGAGTGCTAGATTAGGATATTGTTCTAAATTTTGTTACCATTTGATTTGAATCGTTACAGACTCAGCAGACTGTCCTTGTTTTCCCCCACATTCATGACACTATAAATTAATATAAATTAAACATTTATATTTTGGCTTCATCAATGGGGGGAAAAACAAGGGCAGTCAGCTGATCAGTAAAAATGTAAATGGCAACAAAATTTAGAACACTATCCTAATCTAGTACATACTCTGTGTTTGATTCTGTAAACCCAGTAAAAGAATCCCTGAGGTATAAAAGCCTTCAAGACACTAAAATGTCTATCAAGTACATAATCCAATTGCTCAGCGTAAAAAAAAATACAAAAAATTGAATGTCTCTTTAATTTTATAAACTTGATGTATCTTAAAACATGCACAAATCTCGTACATGCATTCACATTAAATTTCACATTCCCACACTCTGTTCTATTTAAGTATAATACTCTGGTTAACCACCACTGGTTTGTGATCAACTCACCAGGGTATAGACACAGTTAAAGTGTTTCGGTCCCACTGATACAGCTCCATGTTACTTTACTAAAGTGGTATCAGCTGCACTGTCTAATGACTTGACATTAGTCTCTTTCATTACCTGTTAATTTATCCTCCGTGCTAAAACACAACTTCTCTCGTCATTCCAAGTCCAGTATGCCCTCTGAGAGGACGTCTATGGCTTTGGAGGCAGCTGAGGAAGAGCTTCCTGGTCCCGAATCCATGAACATGTGAGGGATCTCACTTCCAAAGTAAATCTTACTATTAGCTGCAATTGCCTTAAATTTCATCAGCTGAAGATATTCAGGGGTCAGCTTCAGCTGAGAGGAGAGAAGGAAAGTTGAAAACGTTCATAAAACAATGAGCACAGTAAAGATGGGGTGCAGTTTTAGGAGTTTACCTTATTGGCCTCAGCTGCTCTCTGTGCAGTGTAAAAGTCTGCATCTGCTTTTGCTTTCTGCCTAGCAATGAAAGCGCCATCTATAAAATCAGCGAGACATAGGAAAAATCAAAATCAGCACAACAGAATCATTCAGAGCTGTGTGATGAGGGATTGTCAATATCATTTAAATTCATCCCAAGCGTCCCATTTCACACTTACGATTATGAATATATTCAGGCGGTTCACCAAAACCTCAGTGTCTCCCCTCAACAAGCTGTCATTCTAATATTATCATTCTGAAATGTTTCTCTATCTACGTTTTAATTTATAATTAATTTATTCCACAAGTGAAAGTTTCCAATAATTGTGCAGATACTGTATAAGCCAGTAGCTAGTCATGTGATCTGATAAATGGCGTAGTGCTGCATTTACACTGTGTCATAATTACTGCAATGACAACCTGGCCCTTTTTAGTTGAAATTGTTCACATCCTCAAATGTGGAATTATGAGTGTCTATGCCAACACTATCGCTGCCAAAATGTAATTTGAGTAATCAACAGACAAAACCATAATACAACACAAACCAGTTATTAAGCAAATGCATTATTAATAAACATTTAGCCAGGTTTTTTTAGCTGGACAGAGTTATTCGACTTTGACAATATGTACTGTAGGTCTTTCATTTATTTTTATCATATTATTATTAATATATTAACAATAGTTATTTATAGAATTTAGTAGACAATGTTACAATGAACTGCCTAACTACATTTTACAGCTAAAGCTGTTGTCATTTTGAGTGTTTCGATGCTATGCTGCGGCGATCAGGTACAAGAGTTATCAGAAAATTCAGAGCTGACAAGCTGTAATTATGAGTTCTATAAGGACGTGAATGCACACATTATTGACTTTGAATTTTGAATCTCAAAATTATGACATGGTGTGAACACCTTAGTATCTCAACATGTCGGCCCTCATGAGGCAACCAGCTTCCATGTAAAATAAAACTGCTTTTCTTAAGTGACTGAAATGACTGTGTGATCTCATGTAAGACCTGACCTGACCTGCCAGATTCGTCACTACTTTTACAAGCAGCAAAAACTCAGTTGAGAAAGAATTACAAAAGAAAAAGAAAATCTGGCCAGCTTCAGCATCCACTGTACAGACAAGAACAGCAGATATAGCATGAGACAGTACAATAAACTTCTATTCAAAAGTTCCAAAGCATGATCAGAAGGAAAAAGTCCTTGCATCTGCCTCTTCAAAACAATCTTGCACACATACACTGAGAAAATAAGCTATTTGTCATTCTACTCAGTGTTTATAATCACAGTAGTTCAGAAATACTCATAGACTGTCCATAATTTCTAAACTAATGTTCACATTAAACCATTACACTGTGGCATTTAGTACTTACTTGTATTTCAGTCTAGTAGTCTTTTTTTCTCCCAATACTACTGTAAGAAGGTTAAGAAACCCAGCCTTGAAAAAACATTACAAAAACTGCCCAGCAGAAAACACAAGGACCAGTAAGAAGTTCATTATTAAAACTATTGAATGTTTTTACAGAAACAGTCCATTCCTTTCCACTGAGCTTCTTTCAGATTTTGGAACAATTCAATGTAAATGACACATAATGAATTGATATAAATGCATTTTGCAAGTTAGTATCTGTCAATGGACAAACTGGCTTGTTTTGTCGATGTCCTGCACTAATGATAATGACCCGTTTTGCATGTAATTTCATGACATCCATTAGTCTTGGGCATACATTCATTTATTCTCTTGTGTCATTTTCACACAGTTTTCACATTAAGGAGACAAACGTTCAAAAGTTTTGAACAATCTGCTTCAAAATGAACTGCATGTTGGTTTGGTAGACAGATGTTGTTAATTATATGAATAATGGCCGACATGAACTTGAACTTAGCACGACTTGACACATTATTTGAAAACCTGGCCTGTACTGCAAAGAATCTATCCCTGCCGAATGATCATGGCCCGGTTCTTGACGGCTATAGAAGGGTGGGCTGGCAGATATCCTGGGTGGGCATTTTTTAGTCATTATATCATCACATAGTCTAGAAGATATTCATACTGTAGATATTGCTATATTAACCATATTACAGTATATGTACACTGAAAAAAAGCTTTCCTGGGCAGCCTAGAATATCATGCATTTTCACAGCAAAATTAACTTTTTTTTCTTTATTGAGTAGTAAATCAGTAATCATGTCTAGAACATTGGAGGGACCAATTGTTTTGAGGAAAACATAAAGACCAGACCACTATCGTAATGGTTTTTATTTAAAGAAACTAAATAAATAAAAGGATTTAAATTGATTTAGGGGAATAAATTAAAAGAAGAAAAAAGAACAGTAAAAGAACAAGAATTTTTGTAAAGTAGTCAATCTGAACTGCAAATAATATTTTTATTTTAAAATATGCGCCCATTCAATTTCCGTTGTATTGTTGAAAATGCAAAACAGAAAAATGCTTTGTCATAATCAATTATGAATTACATGAATCATGTAAATGGCAGACCTACTTTCCATTCAAAAATGCGGAATTTGACAAAAAAAAAAGAAAAAGTAGAATAGCTTGCATCACTGGATAGCCTATTGTTGGTCGTTTATGTCATAGAAGGGGAATGCTACATTTCGCACCGACTGTTGCTATAGTAACGAACGCAACTTTAATTTCACTCTTTACTTTGTTTTCATTCTTACATTTAGCATTAACAGCAACAGCAAGCCAAAAGGGGTAAGCTTTCAACTGAACTGTATAGCCTAAGCCTACATGCATTTTAGATGGCTTATATTTTGCTCTTGCCCCGTCCATGCAATGAATGCATGTTATCGTATGAGTGTTTTTCTTTTTTTAAACATTAAACTGCTCAGGTAATTTCTGTGGTAGGCTATGATACATATTCATGTAGCCTATTAAACTCCCCGTAACTCACAAACTCCCCGTGATAGCGTGCAAATATTTCTGCCCGTTTTCGCTCGTCGTCAGCCTCTGCTTTTCTGCAACAGACTGAAGCTCTGCATAAATTCAGCGCGCCTTGCATTCAGCTAATAAAAGAAAAATGCTTAAATTTTCTGATGTTATTTTATTATTGTTGGGGCAGTCTCCAGCTATATCTTAAACTTCTTTTAATAAAGTACGCTTCAGATTAGTTTTAATTACTGCATAAAAAATGTACACAATCGTTACCTAATTCTGATTGGGTGGGCGAGACAGTCATTTGGGTGGGCTCAGCCCACCCCTGGCCATGCCTGGAGCCGGCCCCGATCATCTGACGAGTTCATGTATGCTGGTTTAAAAAGTTTAAAAGCGGTCGGTAAGATTTGAATGTTTTTAAACAGGTCTTTTTTGCTCACCAAGGCTACATTTATTTGATCAAAAACACAGGAAAACAGTGAAATTGTGAAATATTATTAAAATTTTAAATAACTTTTACAGTATTTCAAAATGTAATTGATTCCTGTGATAGGAATGCTGAATTTTCATCCGTCATTATTCTAGTCTTCAGTGTCACATGATCCTTCAGAAATCATTTTAATATGCTGATTAACAGAAACATTTCTTATTATTGTCAATTTTGAGAATTGTTGAGCTGCTCACTATTTCTGTGGCAACTGTGATACATTACTTTTCTGAAATTTTGTTTAAAGAAAGTTTAAAAGAGTAGCATTTATTCGAATAGAATCTTTTTGTAACTTCATGAATGTCTTTACTGTCACTTTTGATCAATGTAATACATAATAATCAATCTAATTGCTAAAAAAAAAAAAAAACATTATTTATTTCTTTAAAAAAAGATACTGGCCCCAAACTTTTAAATGGCAGTGTATATGTTTTTCTTTTGTATGATGTTATATTTTATTAATGAACCAGGTATATACTGTAATGCTATGAGGTAATTTCTTCCGAACACTGACAGTTCATTTTTACATTAATTTTACATTTTGATACGATCAGGGCCCAAATGGCCCATAGGTTTAATCAGGGATGTTTTCATTTTCCTACATTGCAGTCTAAGACCCCGGAGGGAACATGACAACACATTCACCTACCTTCAATTTCTGAGATCTTTTTCTCTATTTCTTTTTCCATAACTTTCTGTCCAAATTTGATTTCAGCCACCTGAGCCACCTTCTCTGCCTCTGCACACATAAAAAACAGAGCAACATTATTTCACTTTTATATGAACGACAACTTAATCTAAATCCAACCCATATGACCAAACCCGCTCAGGTCATCAGGCTGAAAACTAGGAAAAACATCTTTGTTCACCGATGACAGCCTTTTTCCTCTCTGTCTCTGCCTCCTTCTCTACCACCTTCTGAGTCTGAGCTGCAATCAGTAACTTCGTTCTCTCACTCTCCCTAAGAGAGAGACACACATGCACACACAGCTGATAAGGATTGACAGAAATGTCTAATATAAAAGATCAAAATAGATTTTTGCAGTTCAGATATAGAACAACAAGTTAAGCTGTAACCAGGGTCCAAAATTAAGACTCACCATGCACCATATGTGAGAACAATGCAACTTGCCAGTTGGCTGGTAACTTTATTAGGAACGGCAACAAAATACATGAAAATGATGAGTGATAAAAAAAAAAATACACAAATGCAGAAAATACTAACTTCTGTTTTCTATTAAGTTAACCGAATTTACCCTCATTGTCATCCAATTATTTGGACAAATATGTGCAATATTCCTCAAACTTAATCACCAAAACTAAATTAAAGAACAAAATCACGTTCAACAGAGAATAGCTCTTTTTTTTGTGTGTATGATACTGCGAGTAATTTATTCTTCTGTAGGTAGATTCATCATTATATTTGGAAAAAATATGATTCCTTTGTAATAAGGTAAGTAAGAAACATTTATTACCTGTACATTGGCTAGACTGTTTGGTGGTGTTAATTTTGGGCCCTTGTAACACAATCAGATCATTAACAGCTATTACACACAACATGCAAGAAGTTCTCAAACTCACATTAGTTCATAGTTCCTGCGAATGCTTTCTGGAATGTTTGGTTTGGTGACACGGACCGCCTGCTTAGGAGGGAGAGGAACAGAAGAAAGAGAAAGCAAAGAGAGGAGACAGTAAGAGAAAAAAAATTGAAGACAGTCAAACATCACTTTTGTTAATAAACAAAATTTAATTAGATATTTGGCAGAACACTGTCCTCACAAAGAGACTCTGTTATGCAACAATTTAAAAAAAAAATTTTTTTGCTGGAAGGGCCTTGGGAAATCGCAGGAAGCATGAATACACAAAACTAACATTGACCTCAGGAAAATTAGTGGATATGGTCAAATACTCCTTATGTGAATCACAGCTCAATGTGCATCATGTGAATGACACATTACCCACAAAAGCTCCATTAGAGAATTCAGGAAGGAACACAAGGAATTGTGAATCAGCTTACTGATGATCTCAGTATCATCTCAATGAGCTGATGACTAGCATATTTTTAGTGCTACCAGATGAGAAACAATAACAAATGGAAATCTACTGCTTGCACAGCTGATTATCAGAATTGCTGTTTTTAAGGGTCTTTGCTCGAAAAACGTGGTCCAGCACCAAAAGGATTCGATGAAGGAAATCTGAATCTTGCCAAACCAAAGCTAAATAAAGAAAGATAAACACATGAACAAAATACACAAAGAGCTTAAATGCAGTATCTTATCTTAGGTCTAACAAAATGTCAAAACAATAAAGTCTTGAATGTTTTGGTAATGAGTTACGAAAGCCCATGTTTATCTTTCCTGAATTCAAACGAATTGTTAACGTATAACCGGTGCAGAAAATGAAATGCCGACAAGAACGTAACTCAGTGGAATGGAACAGAAAAAAGATTGAACTGCCAAACCAATTCAAGTTGAATCCCACCTGAATGATGAGTCCAGGTGCCATGCTGGTGAGATCCTGCTGCAGCGTGAGCTTTAGATTCTCGTCTATTTGATCTAAGAAACAACAGGCTACTTAAAGAATGACAGGTGTACACAGAATTTATACCCTTAACTTTTTGTTTTCTCATCACACACAACAACTGCACATAAAAATCACTTGAGAAGCTTATGGCACTAACAACATGTCAAACATCTCCACATTACTACTAGAGGGCTGTAACGCCATTACTATTAACTACCCTCACACCATTGTGAAGTGCATTCATGGATGAAATCTAATCAAAAAAATCTAAATCAACAAAATTCTCCAAATATATTTTTTACAAATTCAAATCAATTACTGTAAGGAGTTACTGTAATTGAAGGAGCCATTTTCTGATTCCCAAACCTTCCTAGTAAATTACATATTGCACATTCAGTGTCTTCACATTTTAGCAGGGAAAAATATGCATAAAATGATTTAAATAAAACAAAAAAACTGCATTCACAGAAATGCACTTCAAATGGGAGTCTATGCAAAGCAGTTGCATTGACATATAGATTTTAAAGAAGCAAAATCTTACCAAACTTACTGGCATCAAATCACCCAACATGGCAACAATCCCTGATTAGGACATTAAAGCACATCACTTACCGAATAGACCTATGTAGACCTCCTGAAGTGAGTGCACACTACAGAACTGATTCAGCTCATGGTGAACCTTGTTGAAAATCAGAGCTTTGTCGTAGTCGGCAGTGAAGTTTCTCACAATGCCATAAACTGCAGCAGAGTAGACAATGATGTTATGAGAGAGATGAATAGGGCACATAAAATAAATGACAGTCATAGTCTGGCTCGTTGCTTAAATTCATGGGGAGTGGGATAAAACATTTATTGGCGAGTAGGCTATGCCAAAGAGGCTCTTAGTGGGCCCTCCCACATTACAGGGCCCAGGGAAATGTTCCCAGCAGTCCTCCCCTAACAACAGCCTTTTTAGTGGTTCTACTTTATAAATGGGAAAAAAGTCATTTTACCTGCTGAAGGAGCAAGATAGTTCACCACCTCAATTCGATCAAAGTAGATCATTACACCTCCACTGCAAAGCAAAAAAACATGTTGATCATAGTTGAGGTATACCTATGATGAAAATTACAGGCCTCTCTCATCTTTTTAAGTGGGAGAACTTGCACAATTGGTGGCTGACTAAATACTTTTTTTCCCCACTGTATATGAATGAGTGTGAAACAGGGTCTCTCTAAAAACAGCAACTGACAAACTGTTTTATGAACAGAATGTATAAATGTATCGTAGTTTCCACACTATTTTCAGCTGTGATAAGAAATGATTCCTGAGCAACAAAAACTGCTATTTTAAATTGCAATAATATTTCACAATATTACTATTTGTACTGTATTTTTGATCAAATAAATACAGACATGGTGAGGGACTTTTTTCAAAAACATACAAAATCTTACCGAACCCAAAGTTTTGAGTTCAGCAGTGTACAGTATATAAACATATGATAACACATTTACCCACATTAAGAACACATAATCGTCAAAAATATTCATTACATTATTCTTAACTATTTACAGCAACAATCTGAAAAATCCTTGGGATTTATTTTTAACCAGTTTTTCTGGACTTTTGCCAGTGTTATTGTTATAGAAAAGAACAGAGAAGATGAGAGGAAATGATAAGTAAAGGAGGAGGGAACAGAATTGTGAAATGTTCTGAGCCAGATTTAAATGTCTTAACCTAAACACTATATTAGATCAATTCTAGATAAAACTCCAAGTGTCTGCTCACAAATGATGTTCAAAAATGATGCACAAAGTTTCAACCTTCAGTCAAGGATTCTCCTGAACTGATGACCTGCTGTGTGTACAGGCTTTAAACGCTGCCAAATGACTTCTATATGATGTTGGGTATACATAATTGAAGGTAAGAGTTTACCAAAATTGAATTTGGTATCCAGTAATAGGGGAAACCACATGCCTACTGTAATGCTGCTCTCACTCTCATTTTGCATGCATATGAATAGAAACACAAAGTCTTTGGTGACTGCACCTTACAGAAGATCTGATGAATGTTCAAAATTTACTTCACCTTGTGCCGCATGGAACATTCTTTACTTCATCTGTTTGTAGGGTTGACTTTACGAAAAGAGAGAGGATGCAATAAGAAAAAGAAACCTATCAAGTTAAACTATACATAAAACGACTGTCTTTTACCTGTACAGACTTGAATGAAGTAATGAACGGCAGCATCAAATGAAATCCAGGGCCACTGGTGGTGGTCAGCAGAGCTCCACCTCTGAGAGGAGAGAAGCACACACAGTTATACAATCTACAGTACAAAGCAGAAAGTGGCATGCACTGCAGCATCTGCTTGGTTCTGGAAGAAGATTCATGGAAAATCTCGAGCAACTTACCTGTAGTAGACACCCACATGTCCTTCTTCAATCTTATGAAGAGCAGAAAACACTGCAGCTCCTCCTATGGCAAGGATCACGGAGGCAACTGCACCCAAAGTCATTCTGAACATAAAATAAATATGTTAACCTATTAAGTTACTGATTTATTGTTGTTAGCTTATTTCCCAGTTACATAACAGGCATGCGTCTTCAAGTGGGAAACAGATTCTAATCTGAGCAGTTAGACAATAGACATAATCCAACAAAAAGATAAAAACATATCCTAAAACAACTTAATAGTAATTATTACAACTTCTTAATACATGTAATGTTTTATTGTAGCCTGCTGAACTGTTCAAAACAACCTAAAGTGGTTTGCTGGTCTTAGCTGATTTTCCAGCCTGCTCAATAATCTATAACCTATCAATAAACGACTATTTTTAGTGTTGCGTGCGTACATATGTTATGGCTAACAGCTAACAGTTACTAGAGTTCATGACAGACTGAGAGAGCATGTGGAACACTGACATTGATGTGACTTTGTTGCTAAGAGGATTGAGGAAACCAAGCACAAAGACCTGCATGCAACTGTCCATGTTACTGAACTGAGACCATCACAAACGAAACCTCAGTTTAGCTAGCCAGCACTACAGGGTGCAAAGCCCGGGTTTTAGAGTCAGAATGAGAAACAGGAACTCTGAATTGAGCCACCATTGCTAGTTCAAATGCATGACTTAAGTGTCCAGAAGTTTCCGCCGGCTTTGGGTTTCCTCTTCGCCTCACACAAACTAATCGATACAGTTCTACTAATTAGTTACTGTGGTGTCAAAATGACAAACATTCTCCTGGCGCCAAGATGCAATCTAACCAACAGAAAACATGACTAGCTAGCTTTAAAAGATGTGTATACAGACGAAATGCATCGGAGAGCCCGTCAACGCGAGATTACAACACGGAGAATTACTTTGTGGATGAATGCGAAGTAAAAGAGATGTTACCTAAGTAGGTTGCTGTAACTCCTTCGTGACGGCCGGTAGAGACACCTGCGATCGATGAGGAAAATACAGCGACGCTCCTTTGCGTCTGACGTCACCAAGGAAAATACAGCGACGCTCCTTTGCGTCTGACGTCAGCGCAGTTTAACCCACTCTTCCGCTGTTGTTCGAGCATCCCACCATTAGATGGGGACAAACATCTTCCTAAAAAAGCAGGATTGGGGCTGAGGGGAGTGATGATGAAGACAGATGTCAGTATTAATACCCTGATCTATTTGCCTCATTGTTTTTATTATTAATTATATACTTTTGTAGTATTATTATAGCTATTTTGCATTAGATTTTCCTCATAAAAGCTTCCGTTTTCATTTTAATTTTAGGTTAAGTTTAGTCATTTTTATTTCAACTTTAGTTTGATTAATTTGAGTATTTCAGCTTAAATGCTTTTATTATTTACATTTTTACATTTGTTTTATTTTATTTTTTTATATTTTATTTTTTTGAAAATTATATTTAATAGTTTAATTTGAGTTAAAAACAACACTGATTTGCCTGTATTGTTAAAGCTTTTACATGAATTTTGGAAACTAACATGCACATTATACTTGCAAGCTAATTACAGTACTATGAAGCCACCAAAGAGGGCTACAACAGGCCTTTTTTATTTTAAACTAAACATTTTTTCCCTTTTAAGTGCTGCTGGTCCAGGAAACATCTTGGTAGGAAGCAGACTTGCATCTGTAGGTGGTTACCATGCCATACCCATGTTTTCCAACAATTTCTGATCATCCGATAATAAAATGAAAAAAAAAAAATGACATGGACACAATCAAACAATACTGGTTTTATTTTCAATGTGAACAGAAGTGTTTATGGGGCTTAATATTAGACACTGTAAAACGTATGACATTGGATTATATATTTATAATCTCTTTATATTATGAATTACATAACTAGGGCACATAAGTGTACAAAAAAATTAAACAGGACAATCATTTGTGAAAATGAAACTTAAAATGGAAACTTCTAGTATCCTATAAAGATAACAGATGCTTCTGTTCTTGTCCTTGCCCTTTTTGTTTATTTGTTTTTGAGGTTCAGTGGGATGGTGGTGGTTGTAGTAGATAGCTCTGGTTGCATCTCATTTCGAGTGTTTCTTAAAGATGGAGATATACTCCTGTACATCATCAGGGGAACCCAGCACTACAGGAACCCTCTGGTGGATTGAGTCGGGTTTGATGTCTAGAACATTCATGGCTCCTGTTGTTGCCATACCGCCGGCCTGCTCCATGATGAAGGCCATGGGGTTGCACTCATACAACAGCCTCAGCTGGAGCCCAGAAAAAAAAACATGAAACCAGTGAGATTGTTGCCTTAAATACACTTTAAAATTCATCTTTTTAAAACAAAACCCAAACAGCTCATGATGTTGTTATCATTGCAATGCATTCACTTTTAAACCCTGTTTCTTCTCACCTTGCCCTTGGGGCTCTTGATATTAGCAGGATACAGGAAAATTCCACCATAGACCAGAGTCCTGTGCACATCAGCTACCATGGAGCCCACATAGCGCCCTCCATAGGGTGAACTTCCATCCTGCAAGGCAGAGTGGAAATGTTATCTTTACTGTCAGTGGAAGAGGCTAATTATGTTGGCTAAAGCTATTCACTGAGCTGAATTTGACTGATTTTCTATATAATGTCCTACTGCACATTTGGAAGAGAAAATGGTACTGAGAAATTATTTCATTATGTCAAAATATCTAACATACTTGACTGAAAGTAAAAATGTTTTTACATTTATCTTTATCTGAGTACTAGTAGTACTCCCCCAAGAAATAGTATTACAAAACCTAACTACAACGGTTCAAACTTTGGGGTCAATGTATTTTTTTTAAAGAAATTAACATTTTCAAATTGATTGAAAGTGACAATAAAGACATTTAAAATGTTAAAGAAGATTCATATTTCAAACAAACTATGTGCTTTTGAACCTGGGAGGGGGGGG